TATTAATTTTTTTAATATATAATACAATATGTTGACTAAATAAGAAAAAAATATATAAGTTAAAGCTTTATTTATATGATAATAAGAATTATAAGTTTATTATTATCATAATTATAAAATATACTTATTTTTTTAATATGTAATACAGTATGTTGATTAAATAAAAAAAAAGTATATAAGTTAAAACTTTATTTATATAATAGTACAGATTATAGTTTATTAGACTCAATTTTTAAAAACTATTTAGAAATTAAGTCTGCTAAACTTTAAACAACAAATGTTTTTTTAAATATTTTATATTCAAACCTAAACTTGTTTATGAACTTAAACTGAAATCAGACCAATTTATTACTGTATTTGAGTTTGGTTCAGGTTTAAAAATTATAAGTTCAAGTTTGAGTTTAGATTTGAAATTAGTAAAATTTATTGTTTGAGTTTAGCTCAAGTTTAGGTTTAATTTAAACTAAACTAAACTCAAACTAAGCATAATTATTTTATTCAAAAGAACTTATCTTAGGTTTGCATCATTTGGTACTGGTTTGTATTCTTTTGTATAATTAAGATTATACAAATATCTTATAATCTGCCAGTTATACTAATGCAATCATAGTTATCCTAACTGATTAATAGAATACTGTCACTATAATACTATTTATATATTACATAAATAATTATCTAAATTTTTATTATTGATAGGTTTTGAACTTACAACTTATTACTTAAGAGAGTAATAACTTATTTACTTTACTAAATCATTATACTCTTTATAACTAATATTAATTTTTAACTTATTAAATATAATTTAATAAATAGAAAGAAGAGAGAGTAGCAAGCTAGTAAAGTAATTAGGTTGTTAATTCTCAAATAGCAGATCTAAAGTTCAGATCCTATAAATAATGAATTTGAAAATTATATTTATATTATGATAACTGACTCTGTTAATTGGTTGGATTAGGTGAATCTGTAACTTTTAGTTACACCATCTTGAATAGGAGTTCAGAACATCTATGTGAAGTGTAATATTACACATATATAAAGAAATGCTTAACTAGTATTGCATAAAATCTTGGTGCAAACTTATAATAAGACCACTAGATGCAAAAAGTGAAGAAACCATAAAGTCAAAAGCCTATTTTGAAATCCTAAATAATAAGATAACACAAACTTTTAACAATACTATTAGACTAATAAAAGTTTATAAAACACCCTCAGTAAGAATAGGTAGATAAACTGAATAATAAGATGTGTAAGGAGTATATGACCAATTAGGCTACTAGAATCACTAGAGGAAAGAATACTAAAGTATACTATACTAAGTTATCTGAATTAGAAGTCTGAGGAGTCCTGTTAGTTCTTAGCTGCAAGTAGTAATAAATAATAAAGAAGATGTCAGAAAAATAGGTACTAGGATTTGGATGAACCTTACAAGGATATAGTAGTTTAATAGTTAGCTCTAACTGCAAGTGATAGTTTAGGCTAAAGTAATATCAGATTAGCTATAAGTATAGGATACAGAAGGCTTTTATAGGTTTAGTACAATATATAATTTAATAAACTTTACTAATAATTTACAAAATACCTAATATAACACTTAATATCAAACTAGAATAGACTATATAAGGACTTATGATATTCTTATATTATACTCATATAAATTTAAACTTGATAATTTTTTATTTTTTATTAATAATAATTACCAAATCTTAACTATAATATAAATATTTCTATTTACTATAATCTAAACTAAACATAAAAACAAAAGTAAAGAATGAATATTCAATTATAAAATTATATTCAAAGAAAATTAAAATAATTTTATAAACTAAGTAAATTCTAATATAATATAATATCAATAAAAAGATTTAAAAAAACTTAATATAATATATATATTAGTATTATCAATACTGCATTTTAATATATACTAAACAAAAATTTTATTATTAAAAATTTTTATTATATATTAAAATCAAAAATAATTCAACTATACTAATAATATCAAAACTAATAATTATATCAAGAGGTATAGCAACTTAGTAAAGTGGATAAGTTGTTATCCTTTTAAGTAATAAGTTGTAAGTTCAAAATCCATGATGATAAAATTTAAATAAACATTTATATAATATATAAATGATATTATAACAATAGCATTCTGTTGATCAGTTGGGATAGGATATTTGTAACTATAGTTGTATCAGCATAATTGGCAGGTCTAGACATCTGTGTAATCTTAATTATACAGAGAAATATAAACCAATAACAGGCAGTATAAACCTAAAATAAGTTTTTGTAATCATGTAAATCTATAGAACTGAAAAACCAAAACTCATTTAGAAATTCTAAATAAAGAAGTAACACAGATCTTTGACAGTATTACTATAAAGACTAAATCTAGAAAATGAATACCAATGTGGAGGAATTAGGCAGGCAAGAATCTTGATAAAAGGTACTACCAACCAAACTATTAGATTTTGAACTGAAGGAAAAGAATATTAAGTCAGCCTTAATATATCAAAAACAGATTACAGTTCTTTTAGGCTATCTGGATTGGAAGTCAGAGATCAAAACAGGAATTACTAAAAGTACTAAAAATATACTATGAAATCAATACTGAGATCTGAGTGAACTCTGTAAAAGTAATACTTGTTAGTGTTCGAAAAATAGGTAGTGTTATGGGTAGATTTGACCCTAGGACCTTGAGGAAACATTGCATAATGACCCACAATCTGCATCATGAAAACTGTCATATCATGATACCCACAACCCAAAACAAATCAAGCTCTTCATTAAGTGATGGTGCTGATCTATTGAAGAAAAAACCACTTGCCCTATTTGGAATTCAACTGTCAAAGTAATATTACCTTAACAGGAAAAATCTGTGGCTGTGTCAATGCGTCATCATATATTGGATTGTATGCCATTGTGGAATGATACTTAAATAATGACAGATGAATTGTAGAAAAAAAGAAAAAGTGTTAGTAAAAAAAGGAAAAATGGTCTATGACTATGAGAAAAAAAGTGTCAAAACCATGTCCCAAGTTCCTCTTTTCCTTCTTAAAAATGTTTTATAAAGAGTGCCTCTTCACCCTATAGTAAGAGATATATGCTATATACATAAGATATAGTATCTTTCTGCCTCTTAAAACCCAAATCGCCTTTTAACTTGTAACCTGCCCTATAAAATAAATAAAGTATATAATTAATAAGTGCTAGTTAAATTTAAATAAACAATTAAATAAAATAAACTATTACGCTCCTTAACTCCTCTGGTAACATTCTCAAAGCTGCCATAGACCAGTGCCAAATCGAATCTGCCTCACCTGCCTTGAGCAATGTTACACAACCTCGATGAATTCAAAATAACAATTCGTCACATTCCTTCTTATCCCTATAGTGCCATTCCCGACCCTGTACCTCGTATCAGTAGATAGTTAACAACAAAAAACTCCCTGCATCTTATTAACAGGTAATGTATTCTAAAATGTGTAATGATCATAAAAAGGGTAAGTACCATATTGCTTAAACAATATACTGATTAGGTATATACAGAAGATTAGTTGAGGTTACATCATAACAAGGCAGATAATCAGATGGTTTAAATAGATAATCTCCTAGTAGGTTATAAGTATGACATCTAGTATAGAACCTTAAAACAGACTATTTAAATAGATAATCAAAAGTTGCATGTGTGACTAGTTGTATTCTCATCTTTGTAAAAATAATTGTAATAACTAACCCAATAAAAGTCAATAAAATATTGCCACAAAGTATGACCTTTAATAAAATAATAATAATAATAATAATAATAATAATAATTACATTATACATCATACTAAAAACTCTTCTCATATCAAATACAACTGTATAATAATTATTAAACTTAATCACAACTATGTGCATTAATAATCTTTAATTTTTGTATAATAGGTTTATAAAACTAATATTTAAGTATGTGCTGAAATTGGTTATGATGCTAGAATAAATAATCTTGATATTTGTTATGAGAATGTAATTGAAATTGAAGGAAAGATAATCAAGCGTCCATTAATTGAGTGACGAGAAGGGAAACCTGTAAATCATGATTTACAGGTTTTCCCTTTTCGTCACTCAATTCTCAAATATCTATAAACATTAATCTGTAATCTTGCCGATCATGAAATTGGAACATTAAGGTGATACGTTTGAACTAGTTGGTGAAGGTGGAATGATTAAAAGGGCAAATAAGGCGAAAGAAATGAAAACGAAATCATACACCTAATTTAAATAACATAAACCTTTTAACTATGATGACAAAGATTTTGATGTTACTGAAACCATCAGGTATTAGTGTTCGAATATTATTAAGGAACTTCTGACGTGGATGATACCGATATAGCATATGTTGGACATTGCGTCATGATGAAATCGACGTTGAGAAGAACATTATCAACTATTGTTTATAAAGGAATTAAGTATTTCTTTAGAAATTTCATAGGGTATCAAATACGGAATCTGCATATGTAATACGGAATTATACTAATATTCCGTATAATTCATTTAAATTCAGTTTGATAGTGTATGGTTTTGGAATATACTATCGGAATGACACAGTAAAAGATAAAATGATAATGTTTGAACGGTACTTGAAAATGCCGAAAATTGTGAATAGAGACAATGACCTTGGAGGTTATGATATGACAAATGTTAGTTTAATGAACAATCATAGATATTATAATGATGGAATTGATTATGAACAGAAGGCGTTCATATATTGTCAAGAATCTATTGACATGAGCGAGAAATTATACTTCTGTACTTGATGATGTTAAATGTTAAGTAAGAATCACGAAAAACGAAAACGAATCGAAATCAATGAAAGAAGAAAATACTTTAGATAATTACTTATAATCAATTTTAACCCCAATTTTAGGATGTAGTAAATGCAAACATCGATTGTAAGAGAATTATATGTATCAATATTCAACCAAGTTTAATTATAAAGTAATAATTATTAACCCAATTTTCTATTCTTTAGATGCCTGAATATCATAACAGTTTGTATAGGCTCTATTGATCAATTTTTTTTCAAAAATAAAAGTCCCAACACCATATTTCTTTAAATTTCCTTCAAACACGCCATTTTTAATGGATACTTTGATAGTTGTTTCATTATCTATTCTTCCAATCCCGGGTAGTAAACCCAAACAAATCAAATCTTTGATAGTTATTCTAAAATTTACAGAAAGTTTCTTGTCACCGTTAACTACTATTAACAAAATTTTATTTTGATTTTTTGACATCCATACACCAACGTAAATGTCATTATCAGGTGAAATTACTATATGAGAAGATGAGAGTTGTGGCATAAAAAGTAAATAATTTGAAAGTTCTTTAATCTCTTTACTTAAATCGATGATTTGATCAATTACTGAATGATCAAGAAAAAAAGGAAATCTCCAAAACATAAGACACTAAGTTATAATCGTTTAATATTAATCAAAATTCTTGACAAGTAAAAGATTATAATAATTATTTCTTAGAAAGAAACAAACAAACCTTATATCCATAGATAATTGAAATATGCCACATAACACTGAGTTCTTGGGATGTTGGTGCCCTTTCCCACCAAGCATTTTGATCATAAAAAGCTTGAAGTGCCATCCATTTTATAATAAATTCTCGGCCTATTAGAGTCAAATCTTTTATATATTGTTGAGTTCGTTTAGGTATATCAAGTGTAACGCTTCCTATACAATCATCACAGCCACATACATCACTATATTCCGTACAGGGTAACATATTTACACCGACTGGATAAACATCTAATAATAAAATTTTCTTCAATAAAGTATTTAAAAGAATTACCGAGGAAGAGAATAAAATCATACCAGTGCCCAATACATCAGTAGCATCAGCATAAAATGCAGAACTATATTTACAATTTAACGTTAAAGAGACTGGATGATATGGATCTATCTTTTTTATAACATCATATGCCTCGAAAACTGCAGAAGACCTATTTGTCCAATTTTCACCATCTGGTTCATCCGCCTCAAATTAGATCACAATTTCAATCACAGAAAAATAAGTTATTTAAACTGTAAAAAAATTGGTTAAAAAAAGTACGATTAAATAATTTTTTTTTAATAAACTTACGATATACCATGTAAGTAAACTTGAATAATTCTTAAACTGATTTACTTGATTTATAACCTTTTGAATATCAGTATAATCATGTCGAAATGAAAATTGAATATATATTCCACCTATTACATCAGCTGCTTGAAACATTTGGTGAACGAATGAAATATTTGGATATGGTGGATCAGGATTAATGATATTAAAATTCTGATCCTTGAGAGTTTGAAGGTTGGTTTGAATATTTCCTTTTAAATAAAAATGTGGGTTTCCAAAAATTTTTATTCTTTAATTTATACATATTTTACTATATATTTTTGAAAAATGAAAAAGAAAAGTTTTTTTACCCTTTTCTAACCATCCACCAATATCAACATACGGTCCGACTGGAAAAATTGTTTCATTTGTTGAGGTCAAAATTCCGCCGTATAACCGATCAATCTTGACAGTTTTTGGTCCTAGTAATTGAAAAAAAGAATCCTATTATTATTATAAAAAAAAAACTTATGCGCAAGGACAAGTAATATAAACTGACCTACGGGAAGAACATAAAGCTTTGTGTATGAAATATGAGCCAACATATCTTCAATGTAGAATAAAATTTTGACTTCATGTGCCTCCAATTTTGGTTTAATTGGTGTAAGTGAAAAAGGTAATTCAATTGAATTTCCATCATATTTTATTTTAGTTATTGCGAGTATTTCAGATCCATCATATAATAATGCTTTGACTGAAATGGTAGAAATAGTATTGTTCAAATTAATCAATAATGAACCAACTAAATCAGTACTCAAATATGGTTGATTTCGAAACATGACAGTGTATCCATTGCCTAGATTTGGTATCAGAGGGATTGGGTCACTTGTAGGTGGAAATCTAATTGTTGGGGGTGTTTCTGATGGAAAAGTGCTAGTACAATTTGTTTCATTTTTATTTGTCAAACAAAAAGTTTTCTTATTATTACATTGATTAATGTTTAGTTTCAATTGTTTAAGATTTTTTATTAATTGATTTTTTGGAATATAAGGCTTGCCACACCAGTATTTTAAGACGGTTGAATATTTTGTCGTTTGAAAATCTGTGCATGATAAAGAAATCGATGCAAAAAGTAAAAGGCTGAAGTTAATAAAACTAAAAAGTTTCATATTCAATTGATTTAAAATTATTTTGAAACAATCTTTATACGTATACGTTAAAAGGTGAACAAGTATGCATTGTTATAAATAAAATTTGACAATCAATACCGATACGTACTTCATGCATGAGGAAAAAGTTTCAATCACGTGATTATTTATATCAGGCGATTTTACTGGCCATAAATTTTTGGTCGATCAAAATTCCGTTTATGATACATTTATAGTAAAAATATCAAAAACGTATTTTTTGTATTTTCCGGTTGTAACGCCCCTGAAAAATTTTGATCGACATACATAAACAAGATTTTTCGGTTTCCGGTTCCTAGTATATCATGAATGTTGCCAAGAAAACATGTTAAGTACATGCGGTACAAGTTCAAATTTTAACTACTGTATACAGAATTTAAAGTTGTACTTAATGCACAAGTTTTTCCTTAGAAGCACTTCTTATTAATAAAGATAATTACTTTCATTTATCAAACCATTGTCTTTAAAAAACTTTTACACATTTACATGTTGTCTTTAAAAAACAAACCATAGAAACTTTATATTCTTTTTAGAAACAAAAGACTAATATGTAACAATCATTGTTATTTAATAAAATTACAATCTCGTTTATAAACAATCATTGAATCAAAATTTTCCTAATAGATTAATTGGTTAAGTTTTAAACATTTTTTTATATTAATGTAATTATCTGCAATAATGTCATTCATAATCATTATTTGATACCACAAGAATTAATGTTTGGATCTTGTGGGAATTTAGAATCAGAAATAATGGTAGCAAATAAAGTGCTAGCATCTTCATAAAAATAGATGATGTATTTACTTTCGGGGTAATCTTGATGGGAAAGGAAAGCGATTTTACCGAGATCTTGATCTTTAAGGATAAGTTGATAATCTAAGTATTTATTAAGTTCGCTCAAATTCAAAAGAGAATGAAAATCTGAATATCGGTGTAAGGTTAATGTTCGATCATTAATCTCAATATAAGCCGCGTATCTTGTATAATCATAACCCGCGTTAGTGATAGAGTTAAGAATCTGACGTGGACTTAATAATCTTGGTGGAGCCTTATTATGATCCCATTTGAGTTGGTATTCGTTTTCGAAAATTTCCCGGGTATATACGCCAATACCCATATTAATTCTTTTTTCAATATCTACGATACTCGAAAAATAAGATTCGAATGCTCGTTCGAACTTTTCCCTCCTCTCGTTGGTGTCTTGTTTCTTCAAAGAATCTTCACAGATGTAATCTTCGAAATTTTCGTAAGATAAAAAAGCCTTACTACCATTTTCATCGTCAAAACAATTTTCCGAACTTCTATAATTCAATGCTTTTCTTATTTGCTCAAATATAATGGGCCAGTCAGAGAATTGTAAATCAATGTAAGCTTCTTCCACAGGAAATCTTTTATCAATAGAAAATAGATTCTTGATCTTATACATTTTCTCCAACATATAAAGACCACTGGTGCGTTCTGGTTGCAGAGCAAATTTAACAGTGGCTAATTTATCCTTAAGATCCAGAATAGTACTAACATTTGTCCATTGGTGATATTGGGCGATATGAGCCCTTGGATTATAAGACTCACCGTATGTCATAACTATATTGATACGTATTAAAGCTGAAAAAAAAGGAAAGATTGAAAAATTTTATATATTACATATAATAATTATTGTTGCTATGATTTGGGAAGAAGAACGTAATAAATAAATGGTTGATTTTTTTAATTCTAACAGCAGCCTGGATAGATTCTTAGCAAAGCACGATCGCTTATATATAGTATAAATCGTGACATGTTCTCGTGATTAAAGATATTAAGAATTGATCTTTAATTCTATGATTCGGATCAGATTAATTTAACGTCCTCATTCGTGATATGATATGATGAGTTTATATTCTGGAGTCACAAATTCATATTTTACAGTCTTAAATATGAATATGTTACTGATTATATTAATAAATAAAAAGATAAATAATATGCGCGCCATAAATGATATATCAGTTCTCTATAACAACGACGAGTATAACAAATAAGTTATACTAAAAATCAACTTTTAATACTTAAAACATCGATATTTTAAAAGCGTGAAAACTCTCGCTTTTATGCATTGCAGAATATAATATAATAAATATCTATATGGCTATATTTCAATAGGTTATTTTTTTTTGTAAGTAGGTATTGTTACGACTGCTTTGGGTGAGCAACACATATTAGCTCCAGTCGTAACTCTGGATTACGTTTTATTTGATTTTTAATCAGATAGAATGATAGTTAGAATTAAGGAAAGATATATCGTAATGTTATGATGCTTTATCATATATTTACATTTTAGAACTCTAAAAAATATGGTCTTCTAGAAGACTTTACGTCAGCCTCACCGTAATGTTATAATCATTCAGTCCAATTTGTTTTATACAGATTAATAATTAAATAAAAATGTGATATCGATAATAAAATATTTATTCTATATAATTATATTAATAATGTAATATACAAGAATAAATCTATACAGTTTTCATAAGTTCAAGTAAATTAATTAATTCTTATGAATTAAATTAAATATTAAAATACATATAATATCTGCCAGAGATAAAATTCATCAACTTTACAGTTTCTCAGAAATGGGTTTAATAATTGATGTTTTAAAGCATTGAATAGAAGTAATCATTAATCTACAAATTTTATAATAAATTTAACAAAGTTTAATATTAAAAATTGCAAAAGGGGAAATGCACTGCGGTGGATAAATTCAAATCTTGCTTATTACGAAAAGGATCATCTTATTAATACATTCACCAAGTGGAAACTATATTGATCAAATTACCCTTTTTCTTCAATTTACTCTTATTCTTCAAATTATTCTTATTCTTTAAATTACTTTTATTCTTCAAATCATTCATATCTCTCATCATCATTCTTTTTGCACGGATAGCTCTTGTGAAAGAACTATCCAACCTAGCACAACCTTTTGTACCACTTAAGAAATAATCGGCTTGTATACAAATTAATTTATCAAGTATTCCATGTATACCAGCACCATTAAATTCAGCTTCGTATTTTGGATTATTTCTAATTTGTGAAAATCCATTCATCGAGACCCATGTATTGAATTTTATTTGATGACGATGACGATGATGATTAGAATTATTATTTACAGAACTATTAACATTTAATCCAAGTATTTCCATAGCTTTTTTATGAGAATCTGAAATTTCAAGAAATGTTTGTGATTGAGCTTTACCACCGTTAATTGGAAAATCCGTTGCAAGGTAAACATTTTTTATTTTGTGCAACTTTTGAATTGCTTTAACCTTTGTAATTAATCTCTCGGCACATTCTGGCATCAATATTGGATCACCTTCTTCCATTCTCCAATGAATAGCTATATATGGTTTTAATTTTCTTCTGATATTCATAGATTGATCAATAATATATGGAGAATATGGAATTACTTTATCAACTTCAGGAAAAATTATTCTAGGAGATTTGTTTAATATCATTATTACTTCATGTTCCATTATTTGAGGAGTTTTTAAATTGTTGATAACAAAATTCAACATTTCTTCACGAAATTTTGGTAATTTTACACGATAAAATTCCGTTAAATTCTCAGTTTTTTCCACAATTCCTGTATGAAATTCTTTATAATTTGTAATGTTTAGATTAAATTTATCTAAACAAAATGATTTTTTTTCATCAATTCCAAATTCAATTCCTTCATCGATTTCCATAGTTTTCTTTTCTCTAACTGTTAAAGAATCATTTCTACCATCTTGAATCATCCATGAATGTTGCGTAATTGGACTTATTTTTCTTTCTTTTGACCATTCTGAAAATTTATCTTGTGTTATAAATCGAATATCAGGATATTGTTTTTGTAATGCTCCTGTATCATAATAAAAATCGAATGAATTTGAAGAACATGCACGGACAGTTGAATTACCAACGTTTGCTAAAACCATTGTACGATTTAAAGCTCGTGCTAAGTGTATGTAAACACGAGTATGAATATTGACACGAGTTTCTTGTTCTTGATGAAAATATGGAAATATGAATTTACAAGTTGTATCATGACAATATTTCATATTAATCTCTTTATCTTTCATTGATAACGTTTCATTTGATGAATCTGAATTAATTGTACTCTCGTTATTGGTATCATAAATAAATATTTCCTAAAAAATTTTTTTAAAGATATCGTTACAGTTAACAATTAATGATTTATAATGTAGAAAATATTTAATTAATGTAGGAAATACTTTACATTGATTGATTTTGTAGACGTATGTTCACCCAGTTTTAAGGCAATGTTGACAAGGTTCAATAAGAAAATTAATGCGATAATATATATGATTTTTTTCGTTATAAATCCAAGTTTTATATATTTCATATTAATATAAGGCATTTATATCGATAGAAGATATTTAATTCCTTATGCGTAATAAGATAATCTTGTTAATCTAATGGTAATCTTTCTTAAGGTTGATGGTCGCTTTATACTTTTTCAAAGAATAAGCAAAAGAAAGATTGTTTCATTTTTTATTATTTATAAATTTATCGGTTCTTTTAGAATGTTTGAGGTAATGAAAACAGTTAATAAAAAGCGTTTACGATGCACGTATAAGAATACAGACGTTAATGCACAGTAAACAAAGGTACCTTTTTGGTACATATAAATAATTTATGTAGCATGTAATTAATTTGCCTTATTTTATTGGACATGTACCGATCTGAAACGTAACAAGTAGTACAATGATCATCATTAAATTAATTGTTATGTTCGTACTGTACGTATTGTAGGTACGTAACTGCCCGCGGCGCAAAACGTTGATGACGATCATTTACAAATCGGGATCAAATTTAATATAAACGATAAGGATTACTAATCAATTGATTTAGAGTAGGGGTCCCTTATATCCACAAATCGGTTAGTTATACTGTATGCCAAGCATCCTTTAAATTTACGTTTTTGATGCCTGTTACACTACACACGTGTTTATGTTCATGTGCGCAATAATTTCTTAACCTTATATTCTGCTTATGCATTTATGCGTGCGCGAATATAACGACAAGTGGATATGCTTGCATATCTAGATATCTAGAAATGCTAGAAATATTAATGTTGTACCCCGGATTGGAATCCCAATTCGGCCCAATTTAGAATCGGGGTAACCCAATTTAGAATTCTTATACGGGTTATCCGGATTGAAGAGTGTTGGTCGACACTCGGTGTAGGGAAGTTTTAAGAAGAGTTAACCCATGATCATTGTAATATCACGTGATAATCATTTAGTCAATTCCGAAAATTCTTTTCATGCCCCAAAGTTTTGTGCCCCTAACGTTAGCTAATGGTTTTAGTAATAATTTCATGCCCCTAAATTTAGCACCTGATTTTTGAGATTTTTTGATTGGTTAGATACAAAAATTATGGGGCATGAAAATAATTTTTGGTTTAATTCTGGTAGACAAATGACGTCAGATATGTTTTATCATGTGATCGTAGATCACTGGGTTAACTGTTTTTAATGTGTCCCCTCGGTGTATATGTTGTAAGTGGAAACGGAATTTAAGTGGATTCGGAATTTTTATATAAAACCCGCATTTTGGGGTTAATTTTGTCATATATACACCCTAACCCTAACCCCAATTTAAATAGGAAATTCCAAATCCACTTAAATCCCATTTCCACTTACGACATATATACGATCGATTGCAGATCGTGATTTAAATTTAGTGTTCGTAGTTACAAAAAGATGTATAGTCATAGAGAGCAAAGTAAATGATTGATTTTGTAATATAATGAAATTAATTAAAAGTTAAAATAAAATGTGCTTGGGGTTTTTTTTAAAAAAAAAAATCAAATAAAGTAAATAACTTTATTCTTTAATCAGATTATTTAATATCAAATATTATGGATAGAGATATAAATTTTTCTTTTTTTTCTTGTGTTATTTTTGAGCAACTAATATCAGAATTTTTATTAAACTGCAATTTTGAGCAACAAAAAAAAACTATTATTATACAAAAAGATTATAATTTGATAATTAATATTCTAAAAAATCTTTTTTTTTAATATTAATAATAAGACCATGCATCTATCTTTATTGAATATTTATTTAAAATTTTTACATAAAGTATAAATTTACTTTAAAAATATTATAAAAAGAATAGAAGCTCAAACTAATTTATTTGTGATCTAAACCAACAGGAGTAATCAAAGCTTATCTAAATTTGAGTATTAGTAATTATATATATAAGATTGGTTTGATATTTGATTTATTATATATATCAAGAATTAATTTTATAATAAATTGAATTAAAAAGAAAAGATTGAGATAAGTATAAAGTAAAATTAAAAAATAAGTTGAAAATAGAAATATAAGTTGTTGATCTTAAAATACAGTAAAAAATCCAAATTTTATAATATATTTGTTAATTAAAATAAAATAAAAATTTAATAACAAGTATTATAACTATTTTTTTAGATAATAGATTTGAGATAATAGAGATAATTTTATTTGACACTAAGCTTAATAAGGTTAAAAAGATTGATAGTAGGTTTACTGTATTGTATATAGTCATACAATACAGTTATCTAATTTGTTAATATAGTTTAGTTATAGTTTCAGAAATGATATCAAGAATATTTGTATTTAGAATATATTGTAATAAACTATCAATAAAATTGTATAGCAATTGGTTAGATAGACATATTAACCAATAAAAGTGGAAACTAGTTTTATGATATTGGTAACAAGTTGGTAAATATGAGTGATATTATTTGTATAGAATATATAGAATAGAACAATCTTTAAGTAAAATTTTAATTATAAAAGATTTAAGAGCAGAAGATTAAAAGATATATGAAAAGTTTAAGAATTTTTAATTATTGTTAATGTATAGTTAAGTGGCTTGCAAATTAATTTGTTAAAGATTTTGTTTCATTTTTGAAACCAGTTTTGTGTAGTTTATAGTAAATAAATATATATATAACAAATTGTATAAATACTGCAATAAGTAGGTAATTCTAAAGAAATTTTTTTAAAATTTAGAGTATAAGATGAATTATAAATATTGTAAGACATAAAAGTTATATATGCAAAGTTGTAATGGTTTTATATCAGTTGGTTAGTATGATTATTATATGTATTTTCTTAGTATATAGTAACTTTGTAAAAAATAATTTAAATTTTATATAAGTTAACAAAGTTAATTAATAAGTTCTATAGTGAAAAATATGGTATATATGTGTAGAATAAGGTTGTAGAAGAGTTTAAAATATTTTGATATTTAAAAATTACAGATTGAAAGTCTGTATATATGTTTATAATATTATTTTTAGGAGTAGTAATAAGAGCAAATAGAATGGCAGTAAGTTCAACTTTGAATAAACAAAGTTAAAGTTTTGTTTAAGCTTGAAATATATATAGTATAGAGTTATTAGAAATTTAGGTGCATTTAATGCCTATAAAGCATTGTGAAGAATCCAAATCAATAACAGAGTCATCTGTATAAAATAAAGTTTTGATAGGTTAATATTATAGTTAGCTATTTGTTGAAGATTATGTGTAAATAAACTAGGTTCAAAAATTACAAAAATTAGTTAAATAGAAATAATAATATTTGAAAGATCTGGAATTTGAGTAGGATGCTAAATTGCAATAGAATATATAAGATCAAGATAATTAGCATTAAAATTAAGAGTTTTATTATAAGTATTAACTTGACCCAAAAATTAAATTGAGAAATTAGTAAAAATAATAATTGTATATTTATTAGCAATTGTTTAGGAGTTAAGAAAGCAGCCAGAGCATATATAGAATTGAATAAATAGAAGGAATAGAGTTGAGTAAATTGTAATTCAATATTACATTACTAAAATAAATTTAGATACTAAAGGTTACCTTCTGGCTTTGTTAACAATGATTTAGTTATCAAGTACAATAATAAGTCATAGTTTTTTGCATAATGAGAAGTGTTTAATTATATAACTATAATAATTTGTATCAGGTAAGTGTAAATATTGATGAAGTGTGTGATTGTAAAAATGTTTGTAACTTGGTCTTCTAAATAAGTAAACCAAAGTGGTTGTTTTTTTTATTTTTTGGTATTAAGGTGACCTCTTTGGTCTTTTGACTTTTATTAATCATTTATCAGTATTGTGGTTCAATAAACCACTACAGGAGAGTGTACAATTGGCTACACATGTAAGTTTTCTATATTATCTATTTAAAGAGTTTGCCTGAAGTTTCTTTACCAATTGCCATACCTAACACTCCTGCTTGGATGTTTTATTTTAAATCTTCTGAACCTGTAATCTGTGTTAATATTACTAAATTATATCCAAATGCTCAGATCATCGTCTCAACTTTAGAACTAATTTATCTTCAAGGTAAACTCTCAGAGCCTTCTGTATCTATTTTTACAACTAATCTAGGTATCACTATAGCAGAACTAACACTTGCAGTCAGAGCTAACCATTAAATGGCTATGCTCTTGTAAAGTTCACTTAGACCTCAGCATCTACTTTGCAGCATAACCCTGGTACTTTAGTATACATCTGTCTTTTCTTCTGTCTTTTTATCAAACTTCCAATTCAGATAGCTCGCATAGGACTATGACCAGTCTATTGGTATATCAGATTGGCCTGATATTCTTTTCTTTTAGTTCATTCTAGTGGCCTAATTAATGATACCTCTGAGACTTCAAACTCAGAGGTTCTTGTCTGTCTGGCTACTATGACCAGATACTAGACCTTGGTATTTCTTTAGTCTAGCCTTTATAGTAGGGCCATCAAAGATCCAACTACCTCTTTACTTGGATCTTCTTAAATAAACTTCTTGTTACTTAATTTTAATAGATTTACATAGTCACAAGGACTTATCTAGTATTTGCATCATCTGATTTGTCAGTTTGCATTCCTCTATATAACTTCAACATTGCACAGATGTTCTATGACCTGCCAGTCATGCTGGTGCAACTGCTATTACAGGTATTCTAACCTAATCATTAATAACAGTTGTCATAATATAAATATTATATAGGTGATTATTCAAATTTTTCACTATTGATAGGATTTGAACACTCAATCTACTACTTGGAGTGT